TGGATTGCCTCTCCCAACAATCCACCCCTTGGCCTGACAAATTCTTGGTGAAACTCAATTTTTAAAGAGTATGCCACTCCACTGGCCATTCTGATGACCAACAGAGGCTAGGACTGATGTGTTCAATTTTTCTCCTCAGTATTTCATTAAGGCTACTACCACCAGAAACCTAAGCAGCATGATGAAGGCACTCTGGAGTATTAGCCATGACCAAGACCTCAGGGTCCCAGACTCAGACAACTGTAATAAGTCCCAAGGGGACTAGTATATCCTATTTCAGACAGATAGGAAGTAGTCTAGGGCCAGTCCATTATCCATTATAATCTGCACAAGACAGTTGAAACCCACCTGTTTGTGAGAAATGTCCTCACCCATCCAATGCCAAAGGATGGACATAGAGACATGAGGTATGGCAAAGTGTGACTTTAATTACGGCCTTATAAGGCTTGGGTGTATGAAGGGCAGGAACACAGAAAAGGGCTGTAGGAAGCAATATTCCTGAGTATGCAAGTCCCTCCCCCAGTTCCTCATTGGCTGCGTACTACAGGATGAACAATCTTCCCGGAAGGCACCTAAAATTTATTACCCCCTTGTAAGAAATTTCTTTGTCTGAGGGCTCAGGACATATCTGTGAAAAAGGCCTGCTAAAACCCTGTGAAAGGAGAAACACCCAGGAATGAAGAAAACAATATTGGCTAGTAACTAATTACCATCTCAAGGAGAGCTCTATCTGTTCAGCAACCCTCCGGGAATGTGCTAGACCAGGCAGACACCTTTTGAGCTGGGCCTGAATCAGTTAAAACATCATCAGATAAGTCATTTCTGAAAATGAATCACTTATTTTTTTACACTGCTGATGTTTGTTGTCACTGTAAATATTTACCAGAGGCAACAGATGGGCCAAAAAACAATTCCTATTCTCAAAGGAAACATTCTGTGCCCATCAGGCAGAGGTGAGAGAGGAAGAATCAAATCTTTCTGAATTTATTTTTGAGGAGGCCATTCCAGTGTTCATAAAACCAGATGTAGGAGGATGGCAGAGAATACAGAATATCCACTGAATACTTTGACTACGGACCTAATGTTGGTAGACTCAGTGAAATAAGGTGCATAACTATCACACTGTAGACGCTCTGGAAAGCCAGAAATAGTTTAGATTCAAGGGCCACAGGGATGTGGCCAGAGTTAGGTGACTGGACTTATGTAGCAAAAGTATAACTTGGAAAAGTATCAACAGCAATGAGGCACCAATAATGGCATCAAGAATGGGGCCAAAGGTCTGACATAGCCAATTGGCTGAAGTGGGTGGGGGCCCTATAAAATGTGGTATAAAACAAAATATTTCTGGGCAGAAGTCACAAGTCAGATATGCTGTGGTAGCTTTTACAACAGAAACATTTGAATAGTCCTTTATTGTGCTCCCAATCTATAATGGTGAATGTGTTTCCATTGCCTACACAATGGTGGATCTGGATAGTAATGGAAGTAATCTGGGTGCTGCGTGCAGTCTTAATAAGCAGCTTGTCTCCATTCAGACTCAGAGAATGGGCCCAGACTGTGTGCATCTACAGAAGTAAACCAGACTGTCAGATGGGGAGCTGAAATTTATTTTCACAGTGTACAACTTCAAAGAGTGGTACCTTTAATCTGCCTGTCTATAGTCTTCCAAGTGGCAAACTGGACAGGTAGGCCATTGGCAATAGCTCTTGCTCAAGAGTCATTGTAAATGTAGCAGGTTTCATGAAGAGGTCAGGGATTTGGTCAAAGAGAGGAGGACTGTCTTGAGTTCTGCCCACTGAGTAGCGTGACCATATCAGTTTTTGGTTTTACAAAGCTACTGCTTGGCTGAATATAGCAGCAGCCTCATAACACCGCCAGCCTTGAATTTAGCTGAACATATCAGTAACCTGGCCTATCCATATGTAGGGAAACCATTGTGAGTTGAGGGCTTCATTGAGCCAGTGACTTTTCTTCAGGTAGTGGAATGGAGCATTTGGTCTGCCCCAAAGGAGTAGCTGCCACTTTTTCATGCACACTTGAGATCACTCTATGGCCAAGCAGCTGTGCTCCTGAATATACCAATTTCACTGGACCAGAGAGAGGCTTGTTGGGTTGCTTCTGCCTTGTCAGTTATTGAGTCCTAGTTGACCTATGCCAAAATATAAAGGTCAGATGGTAAAGTCACAAGGCTTCCCTGTGTCAGTCATTCAGTTTCAAAAAGAACTTTTACAGCTGCTTTTTAAAAAGGTGTGTAATTGGAGGCTGAGTCTGAGAGATGGTGCTGTTGTACTTGGAAACAGACTCTTGGGTAGTCTAGCAGTTATGATGTCTATAGCTATCATTGTCATTGTCCTGGGATTCTTAGTTGTTTCTGCAGGACCACCTGGAAGTAGACAGTCCATGTGGTAGTCCCTGAATGAGAGAGTCTCCCTGTGGACTTCATGAGCATTCACAGTGTAAGCATGTAAAATATCAATACCAGTTATATATTCAGATGTGGAAGCCAAAACATAGTACACTGTATCAGTACAAATTTGAGCACCTTCCCCTGTAGGAGCACAGATCAAGGAGCATGTGTCAGGGGCTATGACACAGTTATCAGGAGACTATCACCTACATCTCACAAGGAGAGAGAGGTGGGCAGTGGGGAAGAAATTTAAGTGTTGACCTCTTTTCTCCCCAACTCATGGGGCCCTTGTCTTTCCTCTTGCAGAAAGCCATGTGTCTGTCAACATCCTACCCTTATATCCAAAACTGTCAAGAACTGTAAAAGCCTAAAGTTTGGTCTTACCCAACTGACAAACTAATAGTCAGTCTTTTATCATTTCATGGATTCTGGCAGAAGACAGGAGACTCCTGAGTCAAAGACAAAAGGACTTTATTCCTCATGACACAAAGCTTCAAGAGCATTATGTTTGCCCTCCAAGTCCACAAGTGGTAACAAAATATGGACCTACACAAACAGTGGGTGTATGTTTCAGTTAAGGAACACTGGGCTTGGGGGAACCACTGTTTTTTTTTGTTTTTTGTTTTTGTTTTTGTTTTTTAGCAAGAAGTAAACAAGCCTTCTCTCCCTCTCTCCCATCCTGGAAGGGAAACGTTACCTCATTCTTCAGGGTTGCTCACTGCCAACAAAACCCTGAGAAATGGCATAGGTAAAGAGTGGACAGGGTCTTCCATTTTTGGCTGGTCAGACCAAGAAAAAACATGCAAGGGTTCACAGGGCCCATGGCAGACTGCCTCTCCCAATAGCTTGATGGTAACTTTTCTGTAATCTTCCAGATATATTAGTTTCTATCAAAAATTATAAAATCTGGCACCAGATATCAGTAACAACATAACTTTTAAATATTACCAAAATTTTCTTTTAAAAAGAGACCAAGAAAGGAAAAAATACACTAGTGCTAACAATTTTACAGTGAGCCTATTAATGCTATAAAGGAACAGATAATTCCTATGTTATATTAACTCATCCAGAATAAAATTAATGTGGTTGCCTAATGCTAGACTGACTCTAAACTGAAGATGTCAAATAATTTAAATAAATGTACAGTTAATCTCAAATAGTAATACAGAAACATGAAAACAAAACAAAAACAAAAGGAAATTAAGATAATTCCATATTGTTAATGAGTTTTCCTGAGAAATGTAAAGAAGGTATAACATTTTATATTTTCATAATACATCAGTATGCCCAATGAGAAAATTTTTTATTCATCTCAATAGATGAAAAAAATCATTGATAAAATAAAGCAATTATTTTTTATTTTAAGTTTTAAAAGAAGGTATGAAGAGAGACATTCCATATTATCTCATGAAAGTTTCAATATAATAAAGATTTAAATTCCTCCTAAATTAGCCAATAGGTTTAGCATAATTCTAATTAAGCCCTACTAGAACTTTCGGGGGGTTAACTTGGGGGAAAAAAAGGATTCTACTGTTAATTTGAAAGCATCAACAAATGCAAAGAGCTATGAAATTCTGGAGAAAAAAAGGAGCACTGAAGAGGAAATTGCCCTGTCAGATACTGGATTATAAAGCAACGAATGGAGCAGACCAAATAGCTATTAAGTAGATCATAATGTAAATATAATACATACAATAATTAACTAGCTACCTTAGGAAAAATATCTGATTGGATCCTTCCCTTTGGATGAAAATAAATTACGGATGGGTTAAAAGTTTAAAGTAAAATAAAAGGAAAAATCTTAAGAAAGCTACTGGAAAATATTAGTAAAATCTCACAAGCAGGTTTGGGAAAAACTGTCTGAATAAAAACAATGTAAGAATCGCACACACAGGAAACATTTGGCTACATAACAACATAAGCCTTCACCATATTAAAATCAGAATGAAGTATAAGAAAATATTAGAAAAGGTCTGAAACAAATGACAGAAGTATTAATACGAATTACTAAAAATATATTACTATTTAATATATAAAGAGCCCCTTCAAAATTAAAGAAATAACTTTTTTACTTTTTAAAGTATAAACAATCAGGTAATAAAACATACACTGGTAAGTGTTACTTCGTAAAAATCACTAATAAATTAATGTTGTTCTGCTTTGCCAGACTCTAATACTTGCAAAAAATATTATTTAAAAAAGTATTATTTGACTAATACATTATTTTAAAAAATCTCCATCTATATTGTTTTTATTATTAATTTTCTTATTCCCCAGGTATATGTTTGGTTTATATTTAAAGAGATATAGTGCAAATAAATCTATAGTTTTGCATGTTTATTTCAAACAATTTATGCTTATATAAAACATATCTCATCTATTTTATGGTATTTTAGTATAATTTATATTCTAAAATCAAAAGCTATTCAAGATAAAATACTCTCAGATACATTAAGTTTTTCAATACACATCACATTCTTGAACATAAAATGTCTTAGAATACTAAAATTTTTTTATAAGAAAACTTCGGCTATTTCAACTCTCTTCTCTCTTTATAAACCAAGTCTTTCACTACAGGCTATTATTAATTTACCTTGAAGTAGCCTTCTTCAGCAGCTTTTTAATCTCATTAATTTTACAGGTGTGTTCCTTATGTATAACCACAAATGCATTACAACCATCTGGTGGTGGCTCATCAGCTGCAATCTAGGATTTCAAAGATTATATTTAGCTACAGTAGTAGATAATTACAATATGATTAAAAAAACTCACACATTACTTTGATTAAAATAACTCATCAACAACTATTAAGTTATTCCTCTAATTAAAGTAAAAAACATCTCCAGATAGGTAGAATCTAAGAAATATTGTAACGAAATCATCTTTATCCTAGGAAATACATGCTTCAAAGTTATTTTTTAAAATTCTATTAAAATTTTCATTATAATTCACATCAATGGTGATCTGTCCTCAAAATTTCCTTATCCCAAATAACTATAAAATTTATATAATATATTCAATTATATTGTAATCAATGACAACAATGAAAAAATAATCAATGATAGGCTATGGAACCAAGTATTATAAGTCTGTAGACTGTTTTGAGCCAAATAGTTCTATGTACAGTGCTAGCACGCCTCTGTCAAATACAGTTTGGGTATTTTTACACACCTGTTGAAACATCTGAATAGTTGGAGAGTATGCCCTTATAGAGAAAGCAAACTTTAAGAGATTGATGTGTAAATTGTCTAAAAATTGTCCAGCTTTCTTCAGGATTAAGTTGTAATAAGAATAATCTGATTCTATAAAAAGAAATCAAAAGAAAAGGATGTTAGTATTTTACATCCAACACACTGACATATCCCTCATTGTAAAGCTAACAATCAAATCAATGTCATATAATCATATCTTAAGTTCGGATGGCGTTAGAGAAAAATCAAGATCTCTAGTCCATTACTGACTTCATTTTGGATATTCCAGTGATGTCCAAGCAATTGACATGAGGACAGGTGAAAACAATCTTGCCACTAAAATGTATTGGAAGATGCCAGCATTTCAGACCAACCTACTCCAAGGTTGCGAGGCTATAATACAAGGATAAAAGATAGGTCCTACCTGTAATTCAACAGATTATAGCACATGAAAGAAGTTAAATATGATTGTTAATAAATTTTAAAGTACACATATGAATAAATTCTACTAAGATTCAGTGCAGAAGGCCATGTGTCCAGAATACTTTAGGAGAACTTCAAGCAAGATTTCAAGAATAATTGTCATCTTGTCTAGAAGTAGACCAAACTAACCTGATCTGTTGGTTCATTCCTTTTGACCTATCTCCAAAGATCCCAAAGACACAAAGAAGGATGGATCTTAGAATTTAATTTAAAACTTTCCAACATTCCTGTGGAGACAGAATGGGAGAGGGCAGAAGAGAATGGCAGTCTAGAGTTGAAGAAGGCCTCATGGCACTTACGGGAATACAGAGAGAACTCTATCTGTGCCCTTTTCTCTACACTGCCCTGGGTATAATCATTATCTGCACGGTTGCCATTGTGTCAGAAAACTGCAGAGCCATTCCAGGGCCAGCCAGAGGCCATAAGGTATCAACAGGGCAGCTCTGAAGTCCATTTGGTACAGGCATCCGTAGGTTGGCCCCTGCACATTCTCCGGTAATTTCTTCCCTCCTCTACATCTTGGCACTGGGTTTCCAACTGATAGAAACTTCTCATACAAAAGAGCTATTTTGGGGAATATACAGAGCAGTTCCACATGGATCAGGGTTTCTACCTGTGAAATGTGATAACAAAAGGCATGTGGCTGAAACCAGACTGTAACAACAGGTAGTCTCTTTCTGAGAGGAGGAAAAGGATGTTTTGACTGGAAGGAGACATTTTGGGGGTGGCATGGGAGACTAAATTGTTTGTTAATTGCAACATCATTTACTACTTGCTCCAAAAGAATTATATCTTTGAACCTCAGTTCCTCTCTTTACCACAGCCCACTGAGTGTGCAGGTGTTATCTGGTCGTCCAAGTTGTCCTGTGAGAACTGGGGCTCAGAGAATCAGTGCAAATGTGAACACTGTGGTTACTGTTTTTGCTTTAAGTAATAAAGTCTTTTGTCTTTGATCCAGGGGTCTCATGTCTTCAGTCAGCATCTGTGAAATTATCTGTCAGCACTGCAAAACTTGACAGATTTGACAACAAAAATGAAATGCTGACAATATATAGAGAAGAAAAGACCCAATCCCATGGTCCAATTAACAGGATTTGAAGAAGACCTTGGGAATTGATAGTGGATATACTGAAAAAAGTGTATGGTCAATCAGACAATAAATGGTCTTCCATTCTGTTGTCTGTTAACGAAGAGAAAACAAAGAGAGGGTTACAGGCCAAGAACTAAGAAGGTTCAAAAACATCTGCCCAAATGATGTCATGGTGGCACCTTCTGACTAAATTCTTCCTACAATCTATCAGGCCAACCTTAGACACTTTCAAAGATGACAGAAAAAAGTCTAGGAGTTTATTGCAATGGGTCCTGGCTAATGTAAGGGACCCACTCAGGAGATTTCCCTTGGTTAGTCATAAAGTCTTTCAGCTCTGATTCAAAAGTCTCATGTCTTCTATCTCATTCTTGAAATTGTGGCAAACTAAGTTTTTAGCTTGCAAATAGGGTAAAAATCTAAGCCCCTTCACAGTTCTTAATAAAAAAAAGCTCAGAAATGAGATGGCCAAAGACAGGGGGATATGAAAACAGTTTTGAAAGAACTAGAAAGAAAAAAAACACCAGAAAATGTAGACTTAAATAAGAAGTAACACAAGAGTAAACAGATACCACAAAAAGTGTAAGAGAGGGCCGGCCTGGTGGCGCACTGGAGAGTGTGCCGCTTGGGAGTGCGGCGGCGCTCCCGCCGAGGGTTCGGATCCCATGTGGAGACCGGTTCCCACTCACTGGCTGAGCATGGTGCGGGCGCAACACCGAGGATTGTGATCCCGTTGCCGGTCAGTAAAAAAAAAAAAAAAAAGACCAAAAAAAAAAAGTGTAAGAGAAATAGATAATACAAAGGAAGAAAGTGAGAAAATGAAACAAAAAGAGAAGAAAAGATTTGAGAAAATGGTAGACACAGAAGTGAAGCAAAAAGAGATTTATTCTAACGTATACTTGTAGATCCTCCTAAAGCAGAAAATCAAGGGAATAGAACAGAATTAAGAAAACTGTAATTCAAGAAAACCCTCCAGAATTAAAAAGAGTAATGAATCTGTATACCTATGAAAAAAGAATGGTCAACATTTCAACATTCTCTAGTAAAACTATGGAACTCTGAAGTTAAAAATCAGAAGTACAGAATTCACACATATACACTTATGTATGTGAAGAACTCAAGGGCCATTATACCAAGAGTTACTCATGAGCATCAACAAGAGGGCAAACTTTATATAACCAAGAAATAATTGGAGAAACTGCAGCATAAAGTCTGATGGTGAGCTCTGAATAAACTTAACTGTTGAAATAAGACTAAATTAAGGAGCTAAAAGTGACAGAAGACTATAGAAATGGTGTATGCTCTGATGCAGAAAAATATACCAACAAAAATGCAACAAAGGAGAAATAAAGTGGAAAGTAAAATAACCTCAGTGATTCCTCATAAATATTCACTACGAGTAAAAGAATGTCACCGAAGCCAACAAAGTGAATAGTAGAAACTTATATACACCTAAGAATATCAAAGGTAAAGTCTAAAAACGAATATTTGTGAACAAAATCACATAGTGGTGAGGGGAAGAAAGGGTCACTAACTATTTCATTATTGCTTACAGTAGAGGACCAACAGACAATATTTAAAGAAAGAGGAGATAAAGGACTCAGCCTTTTCACATTATTCCTTTGTTCTAAACTGCAGAAGGGTAGGGGGATGCATGCATGACCAACCCCGTTCATTGAGCCTCAGCTTAAACGTTAATTGTTTTGTAAAGAAATTTCCCTGACCTCCCAAGTTCAGCTGCTGTATACACTCTGACAGGGCTCTACTGAGACCTAGAATTGACCATCTCTAGGTCAATTCTCAAAATTGTAATTAAAAATTAATATAATTTTAAAAATTCTTTCCCTCCCATTAGGCTACAAACTGTGAAGGCAGCGAACTTTTCTAGGCTTTCAATTGTACATTTCTACTCATGGCACACAAAATAGGCATTCCATAAATTTCTTGAATTAATATTTGATAAACGAATAGGCCTCTTTATTCTAGACAATAATATATTTCTAATCCAGTAATTTAAAATAGCTGACATATCAGAATAGTCTGCTCTTTTATTCCTACTTCTTTAACAAACTATAGGTGATTTCTCAGAACTTGGGAGTTATAAGTGAGTTTTCCCCCAAGAATCAAAAAATAATGCAAGTAAGATTCACCTTCAACAGTAAAAGCAACATAGAACAGATTGGAGATGTTATCTTAAAAAATGATCTCAAAAAGACATAATACCTACAAGGTCAGCAAGAAAATAACCAAAAATAATGTAACAACGTAACTAAAATATAACTACATTAGTTAGGAGGGAATTGGTCACCTACAGAAACAGAGAAGTCAACAGAAACAAATGTGAGTAGTGTCTGACAACAGATAGCAAATTTTGTCTAGGTTGTCCCAAAGGTAGTGACAGACGTCAGATTCAGGAGTTTACAGTAAGTAAACTTCTGCAAGTTAGGTATAACTAGCAAGATAATCTCTGTCATGAAATGAATGCATTGGGCTATTTTAGCCAATATTTTTAAATAACTCAATCCATGCTACCAAATAACCTGCTGATAATTATTTTCCCCTTTCAATATTCTCTTTATCTTCAACCACACCTTTTATCGATTTTTGTCTACTGGCACCTAATATACATAAATCCCTCTCATTAAAAAAAAAAGAAAAAAGTAGTAGCCTCCACAGTCAGCTACTGACTCATCTTATTCCCTTCAGAGTCAAACATCTTAACAATATTCATCTCTACTTTCTCAGCCTCTACTCACACTTTAACCTACTGCAGTATTGATGACTATCCCAGTGAAATGGCTCTCACCAAAGTCACTAATAATTTTTGTTGTTAAAAGTACTAGGTGCTTAATATTCAGATTACTCGATCTGTCTATAGTATTTAATAACATCAATCATTTACCACTTAATAATCTCCTGCCTTTCATAACATCACATCACACTTTCTATGTTTTTGCCTACCTTTATGGGTATTCTTCCTTAGTCTCTACTGGGTGTTCTTCCTCTCCTTATCCCTTAAACATAGCTGTTCTTCAGAGTTCTGCCCTTAGGTGCTATTTTATTCTTGCTATATGCCTTCTCCCTGTAACTTCAATTACCTTCTTCATGTTAATAACTCCCAAATCCTACAAAAAAATTCTAGATTTTTAAACTTAAATCTCACTCTCACCTATCATGAGATATCTCCATTTGGATATTCCATAAGCATTTCAAATGTGACACATTCAAAGTACAGTCATCTTCCTATCCCAAACCTGGTTCTTGGGGTACATGTAACTAAGTTAGAGCATCAAAACATTTTCTGAAAATCTTTTCCATTAAAACATAAAAACAACTTTACAAGTTAGATGTTCAATATTTACAATTTTTTAAGGCAAGCGGATCACCAGAATTATTCTTCAGTAAAGAGTATTAGAGGGTTTCATGGAGATTCAACATCCTAAAAAGGTACAAGTAACAAAGGATTTAAAATGCTTCCTCTAGGATGAATGTTTTGACATTCATTTATAAGTAAAATCTTATAGTTAATATATTTTATCTATCATTTATATCATTCTTTCCCACACTTAACAAGGTCAGCAATGATGTCACATATGCATTAGACTCTATTATAAATAAATTCGATAGACTTATATTTTCAGTGTTAGTAATTCTTACTTTAATACAATTTCTTTTAGGTTCAGTCCTGAAATACACTCCGGAAATACTTCCTACAGTCTATGATTGAAGTAGAGTTTAGGTACTCCTGAGCTTATAGTACAACTTGTTAACCATCTGCCACCAGACTGTCCAGGTATGTCATTTCATTTAAGTATATAATGTTGATATGTCTGAGCAACTTAAAATTAGATTTCAAAATTTACAAGAGTAATTTTTAAGACTATTTCTCTAAATAAAAAAATAGCACTGAATAAGGCCATGAAGCATGCATTGAGAACTACAGAGTTGGGACAGATATAGTGAGGATTTTAGGTAAGAGCGAGGAAATTTGGTGTTGGATTTTTTTACCTATCATGGAAACCTGACACATTAATCTAGCTTATTTTTACTTCAATTCCCAAAATTAAAATTATTAGGAAAAATTTTTAAAAACCCAATTTCCTAATGATTTGGAAGCAAAGATTACTCAGTGGTCAAAGCTCCTCCACATATTCCACTCCTATCTGTTCTACCTTCCCTACCACCTAGCTTAATCCTATCTATCATTCAAACTCAACTTCATCACTCACCACTGAAAATGCTGTCCTGCTTTTTCTGAAATACTGTATAGGTGCCTTTTTTTTTTTTTTTTTTTTAAATGTCTTCTCATGTTATTCAGGTCCCTGTTAAAGTTCTTACCACCTAATAGTATATTTTGCTGTTCTGCTGTCTCCATTATGTTAGGAAGTCCTCAGAACATAAATCACATTTATTCATCTTTGCATTCTCAGCATCTAAAGCAGTGCCTACCATCTCTTATGACTAAATAATGATAGTTAAATAATGAAGCTTTTCAGGAAAAGTTTCTTGAAGGGAAAAAATCATTTGTTTTTGGAAATATTTCAGTTTAAAATGTCATAAAAGCCATATCTGATCTCTTTATTTTTATAATCTATCTTGTGAAATCACAGTACTGTTGAGCTTCAAAGCCAACTGAGCCATAGGCTCCAGTAAATGAACACTTAAAACATTTGACACTGTTGTTTATATTAAATTTACACTCAGGAATAAAATCATAAACTAATCACCCACAGTAAAAAGTTTCCCCTATGTCTAAATGGCTAAAGATTTCAGTCTGAAGGGCCGACCCCATGGCTCACTCGGAAGAGTGTGGTGCTGGGAGCGCAGCGGCACTCCCGCCGTGGGTTCGGATCCTATATGGGGATGGCCGGTGCGCTCACTGGCTGAGCGCGGTGCGGACGACACCAAGCCAAGGGTTACGATCCCCTTACTGGTCAAAAAAAAAAAAAAAAAAAAAAAAAGATTTCAGTCTTAAGGAATCCTACGTTCATGTCATCTATTTCTATTTCTTTGTTTATAAGTGAAAGTGGATTTTTTGGGAGCAGCTGGCCTGTATGGAGATCCAAATGCTTAGTCTTGGTGTTATAACACCATGCTCTCTCCAACAGAACTAACTGACCAGCTCTTCATGTCATCTATTTTATTCTCTGTGGAGAGAGGAAAATAAACCTTTCCTTAGAAAAATTAACCCTTTTGCCTTTGCTGCTAAATATCTTTAATCTATTGCCCTTCCTTGAGAAACACATAAATAAACACTAATTCTGAGGAAGATATATGTATGTGTATGTATAATTACAGAAATGTATACTCTCGTATATATATAAAAGCAGGAATTACTAACTCTATTTTATAGATAGTGAAATGAAAGCACATTAGTGACTGTCCTTGGCAATGAAAGTATTAAAAATCTTCAAGAATTTAAAAGTAAAAGTATTCTGGCAATAAAAATGCAATATACACGTCAGTATACATTTTCCCAAATCCACAGAATATACAACACCAAGAATGAACCCTAAGTAAACTATGGACTTTGGATAATAATGATGTATCAATGTAGGTTCATCAATTGTAACAAATATAACACTCTGGTGGGGTATGTTGATAATGAAGGACGCTATTCACGTGCGGGAGCAGAAGGTACATGGGAAATCTCTGTACTTTCTGTTCAATTTTACTGTGAATTTAAAACTGCTCTAAAAATAAAGTCTATTTAAAAAAGAAAAAAATGTACTATTACTAGATGCAAAACTAATACTGTTCCAAAGAAATCTAGGTAAAAAGAAAACCATAACTAAACAGTTTTGATCTTCTTGACTATAATGTAATATCCAAACATTACTAATTATGAGTTTTCTTATAATAAAGTATTAAGCCCTATATTCTTTGGAAATGGACGCTTGGAATGGTTTCTATTAAAACATCTTTTCAAATTTAATGTCCAGATTTACTAACCCAACCAAGCATTCACACTTGACCAATACCATTAAAAACAATAAACATATCCAATGTGTGTACATAAATATAAACATAAGTTAAAATTTACACACCTACCTCTTTGCTTATAAATTACTAATTCTTGTACAGTTTCCAAAAACTGCCAAAATTTTTCATTACTTTCTTCTGCCATAAATTCACTATTAAAAAAAAAATAATTGGTTAATAGATGGGAATGAAAAATGGTTTAGATGCTATAAACTACACTTTAGAACCAAATTATATGTTATGGCAAAAACAAAAACCTTTAAAAATTAATGTCAAATTACTAGTTTCCATTTACTATAACACAGAAAGGGAACAAACTGATGATTCGTACCTAAGGCATCATTTTCAACTGTAAGTATATAATCACACCAGGAAAAGACTGCATGAAAAATTACTTTTGACTTTTCCTTATTATTAGGAACAATTAAAAAATGAACGATTTATTTTATCTCTCCATATAAAATACCACTGAGAAATATAATTTAATGGTAACTAAAAGAGGGCATTATATAAAGGTAAAAAGTATTAAAAAAAAAAAAAGACTGCCTTTTTTCATAAACAAAAATTGGTTCTATAAACACTTTATAATAGTCATATTATCTAACATTATCTATTATTTTTATTTAATACTTATTTGTGTAGAAAATCTTTTTTATTTAAAACACCTTAATAAAAAATTAATAGTAAACTGGTGTATTGCACTGGGTCTTTGCCCTTAAAGCCCAAAGAAGCCTCCAGTTTTCCTTAGAGTGTAAATAAGAAAAAGAATGGTCAAAGCCATGGGGGGACGGGAGGGGAGAGATTGAATAAGGGGCATAAAGAATTAGTATGATTTGTAACAATGAATATGCTAATAAAAAAAATTTTTTTAAACCTTTAGGAATAATGAAATAAATGAAAATTTATTTAGTCTTGTATAGAACAAAATGCAAAACATCTTAAATAAGTAGAGTTAACTATTTACACTAGAAGGAAAACAGCCACCAAACAGATGGTACAGATTCTTTGTTAATGCCCACCTTATCTTTCTCTCTATCCTTGGTAAACTTACTCTTGGTAAACTAACACTTAATGTAAATGAAAAGTATTGAGGATATCTAAGACACAAGCAGAGTAATTAATTCTTGTGAGTTTAAGATGGCCACTAAAGAGGGAAAAGGAGGTGAGAGAAACTGATTAATTCATCAACATAAATATGAGAAGCACAGAAATTTAAACTAATAAAGGTAACTTCAAAACAACTCTTGCTGTTAACAGTATCCAACTCAATGACTTAAAAAAGAAAAAAATAAAAGCTAAAAGCAGAAGAAACAATGGGAAATACTAACTAGGACGTGACCTGAAAAGGACAGAAATGGTAGGGAGCAACACTTAATACTCAATTGACCTGACCAAACAGCTACAGACATGTCATATACCGTGCAACCACCGGTGAAAGACTTTTTCCATATACCATAATCTATACACTTAAGTATGATCCTTCAAAGTGATCACCTTAAGAACTCAAACTTATTCCTTCAATATACCACTGCTCTAAGCACTTTTGGAACATTCCTAGAATTTCATTCAGAGGCAATGTGCCAGTAACTCATCATTAATCTTCGAGGAGAAAACATCCTTCAAAGACCTTCTAAACCAACTCCCCACCCTCCAAAAGGTAAGATATCACCTGTGGACAAAGTTCAAAAGGGTAGGGGAAAACAACAACAAAAAACCCCTGGCATTTCCAATTTGTTCACTTGCTTCATAAAACATTTTGGCTTCAAATAATGTTTACCAAAGACATTATGCTACAGAGAAAAAAAATTATTTCTATAGATGGTGTTTTTTATATGTACTAAAGAATATGAGAGTAAATATAAGTAGAACTCCAAAATATTTTCAGCAAAAGCAACATCAGGGGAATAAATGCAGTTTAGATGTATAAATTATGGTACACAGGCTGTAAAAATTTAGCCTCATTAGCCTATGATATTATAAATTTCCTTAGGCAGAGGACATACCTTATTCATCTTTGTTTCCTACATAGTACTCATCATAGGACCATACTCAAGTTAGACACTCAAATTTTTAGACTGAACTGAAAGATATATGGAGGTACTTCAAAAAGTTTAAGGAAAAACAGAATTAAGATAATACAAATCTTTCAATGAACTTTTTGAAATACCCTCGTATATGTATATATGTGTATGTATTTATAGCTTTCTGTTGGGAAGCTCAATTTTTTGACTTAAAGCATTATTCTTAGGAATTTCTTTTACCTGCTCCCATATTATTTTTCTTAAGTTCCTATCTCCCAAGATTCTTCAATCTGCTCAATGCTCTTCAATTCTTCCACTTCCACACTCATTCTCAACCTCTTTGATTTTCCTAAAATTGTGACTTGAGAGAAACATGAACAAACTGAAGGTGATCAGAAAAGTGAAGTCTAGAAAATAATTTTTAAAAAGTACAGAGGTTAAAGAAACTACAGGCTTTTAGCCTGTTACACTGTCACACAAAGAAACAGGTTTGGTTCAGGATGATAAAGTCAGGACCAGTAGATAAAAGGTATAGTGAGAAAGATTTGTTTATATAATAAAGGACCTGCTAACAATTTAGATTTGTTCACAACAGAACAATCAGACACATGAGGTAACACTAAGCATTCTATTCTGTCTTTATTATCCAAGCACAGATCAGTTTCCACAGGTCCAGAGGTAATTCTGATGGTGGCTTGAAGTATACCTCACTTTATAAAAAGTTCCTCCTATTACATCAATATTACTGAGTGCCTAACTCTTTGTGCACTGAGCCTTGGTAAAACAAACATGAATAAGAAATAGTTTTGTCCCTGAAGCTCACATTTTAACAGCAGAGGTTAGCATATATGATACCTTACAATAAGTATTATTACAGAAGTACTGACCAAATGTTATGAGCACATAATAGAAATATATTAGTTTTGTTAGGGGAAAGGATCAGTCAAAGAGAGTGATATGGTTTGTCCACAAATAAGATATCAATGAGGAAAGAATTGTGGTAGAGGGATATATTACTAATTTAGGACTACCAAGCCATTACACGAGGATCCTTTACAGATCCTTCCTCACAACTCCATTTCTATATCGGCTTCTGCTGAGATGGTTGAGTGGGTCCATAAATCATATGTCTAACTTATTCAGCAAGAGAAATTTATTCTCTCACAGTTCTGGACACCAAAAGTCTGAAATCAAGGTTTTGGCAGGGTTAACACAACAGGTTCCAAAAGTTAGGACATGGACATATCTTTTCATAGTGGGACACCATTCAAGCCACACTCTGGCCCCCTGAAATCCACATACATCCCATATACAAAATACATTCACTACATCCCAACACCCCTCAAAATATCAACCTGTTACAACATCACTCTTGTAAATACTGTCAGCTCTGACACTATTTACAAATCTTATCACCTAAATAATCTAAATCAGTTATGGATGAGACTCTGGGTATGATCCCTGCTGGGGCAAAATTCTCTATATGTGAACCTCTGAAACTAGAAAATAAGGTATCTGTTTCTAAAATGCAATGCTGAGATGGGCATAGGAAGCACATTCCAATTCCAAAAGAGAAAAACGAAGGAATAAAGGGGTGACTGGGCCCAAGCAAGTATGAAATCCAGCAGGGCAGATTCCATTATGTTTGAAGGCCTGAGGATAATTCCCTGTGGCCTGATGCTCCACATTGTGTGCTACCCATCATGGCTCTGCCCTCAGAATTATCCCTCCTTTTTCCTGAAGAATAGCAAAATGCTTATAGCCAAGTAGATCCATCAGTCCATTTCCTGCCTGTAGAATTTTGGGAGTCTGAGAGCCCTCTCTGTCTTGTCTCTGTTCCTTTAGTCCAGCTGACAGTGTTCCTGCTAATACAATATTCTCAAAAACCTTGTGAGACTTTTGTGTATCTCACTGGGGTCCACGCCATTACATGAGAATCTTCTACAGATTCTTCCTAGATAATCCCATCGTTATACTGGGCTTCTGCTGAGATGACTGAGTGGATCCATGAATCCCATGCCTAACCTATTCAGCAAAAGGCTGTCCAGCCAGACCCTTGGCTTTCTCTCCAGAGCACACATTCCCAACACTGAGTTTCCTAGTTGTAGCATTCTTTAAAATTTGGATACGCCAAGAACGTCTCAAATCATCAACTGATGGTTCCCTTTTCCTTAACTGTTCTTTATTTCTTTCCTCTCTCATTTTACTATAAGAAGTAAGGAGAAACCAGGTAACACCTTCAACATTTTGCCTGAAAATCTTCTCAGCTATCTCGGCTAAGTTCATTGCTTTCAAGTTGTTTTCCACAAACTGTAGAAACCAAGTCAACCAGTATTCTGCCATTATATAACAAAGGTCACCTTTTTTCCAGTTTCCAATAACGTGTCCCTCATTTTCTTTTGATTCCTTGCCAGAATTGCCTTCAATGTTCATATTTCTACCTACATTCTGTTCACGATAACATAAATACTCTCTGAGAGAAGCTTTTTGTACTGTGCTCCTTATTCTCTTCTAAACCCTCACCAGAAACACTCCTAATGTCCATATTTTCTATTTTTCTGCAAACAATCTCCTGAAGGCAGTCTAGGTCTTTTCTACCACAGTTCTCAAATTTTCCAGCCTCTGCCCAATTCCAAAGCTATTAGTACAGTTTTAGATATCTGCTACGGCAGCACCCCACTTTCCGGTGCCAAAATCTGTTTTAATTTCCTAGAGCTGTTGTAACATGTTAGCAAAAATTCAGTGGCTTAAAAGAACAGAAGTTTATTCTCTCACAATTCTAAAGGCCTAAAGTTCAAAATCAAGGTGTTGGCAGGTCTGCACTCTCTCTCTGAAGACTCTAGGGGAGAATTCTTCTTGCCTTTTCCAGCTTCTGGTGGCTTCAGCTGTTCCTTGGTTGGAACATAACTTCAGCTGTTCCTTGGTGGAGCTACTTAACTCCAATCTCAGACTCCATCTTCACATAGGCTTCTCCTCATGTGTCTTCTTTTGTCTCTTATGATGACATTGGATTTGGGGCCCATCGAAGATGATCTTGTCTCAAGATCCTTAACTGCATTTGTAAAGGCCTTTTTCTCCAAATACGGTAATAGTCAAAGGTTCTTGGAGTTAGAATGTAGACATATTGGGGTGGGGGCACCATTCAACTGAGTACTGATGCTCCTCATCTTATGATGGGGTTACCTCCCAATAAACCCATCATAAGTTGAAAATATAAGTTGAAAAAGCATTTAGTACCCCGATCAACCCATCATAAAGTTGGAAAATCATAAGTCGAACAACTGTAAATTGGGGACCATCTGTACAAGGGATGAGGTTGGTAAATCAGACTGGAGCTAGATTGTGAAGGACCTTAACAAGCATCGTATAAGAATTCCACCTCGAAGATTCTTGAGGCACACAGAAACCCGGACACTTCAACAAGCAGTCGTAAAGTTGGAAGTAGTTAGACTGCTTTGGAACTAAGTGTGGGATCAGATCCAGATAAACTCTAGGAGAAACTGGGGAAAGGAAGGGGTCATGCTTTATGCTAGAATCATTTACGCACTAAACTGTTTTAGTATCTAATTTCCGCAATTTATTGTGAGGTGAGGGAGTCTCTTTCTAGGACCACACGCTGTTGCTCTAGTGAACGGACAAAAGCAGGTGGCGTACAACTTCATTCTGGTTCTGAGAAAAAAACTTCTAATTCTATTTAACGACTGGAATACTAAGGGGCAAAATTCAATAGCTACAAGTTTTGTTCTTGCAGACAAAATGACACCTTATGAACTAATTCCAGTGGAACAGATATGGAAATATGACAACTTCTGGGGAGCTGCCTTTCCCACAGCAAGCCTAGGCGCTGACAGAATGACTCTTCAAGTACCCTCTGCTCAACAAAACTGCCCACCTCAAATGCTTAGTTGAAGTGCTGGCATTAAGCGCCACAGTCCACTCCCATTCTTTCTTTTCTCTTTCGTAAACGCTAACAAAATCCACATGAATTAAACGAGGGCAGAAATGTTTTAAAAACTGTGGGTGAGGCAAAGCACGACCTGAGGGGGAAAGGGGTTGCAGGCGAGCGCTGCGACGGAACGGCGAGGCGGCGCAGAGGGCGGGAGGGGAGAAGGGGATGCCGCTCCGACGGCCCGAGGCCCGAGCACGCCTGAAGAAGGGGTGCCCGGAGCGAGGAGACGCCTGCCGCCGGTGCGAAGACACCGGGTCTGAGGGCCGCCAGGGCCCCGCTCGCCCGCAGCCCTGCCCGACCTTCCCTCCGCGCTGGGCCCGGCCCGCACCCACCTCGCCTCCAGCAGCAGCGGGGTCTCGGGCCACTTTGCGGCCAGGTGGGCCGTCACCGCCTTGGACGCGGAGGCCGTCCCGCCGCCGGGCAGAGAGAGCCAGAGCGCTGTGGAACCCAGGAGCATCCACACCACATTCGCGGTCATCGTGGGCGCGGCCAGGGAAGCGCAAGGCCCTCGGACCCGGCACTCTCAAGTCCGCAGTCGCCACGCTACAGCCGGCCCCACTTCCGGTGGGGGGAGCTCGAGTCCGTTACTCGGCGCCGGGTCCGGCCGCGCGCCCAGCGCATGCGCGTCTCGCTCCGACGCCGGCTCGGGGGCGCAGTCTGGGGAGCCCCCGCGGGCCGACGCGGGCCGACGCGGGCCGGACGCTGTGCCACGTACGAACAGCCTGGGCAGCGCCGGGATGCGGGGCGGCGTCGCTGATGCTCAGGCGCGTCCGGGACGCCGACCTCGGGTTCTCAGGCGGTGGGACACCGGGCGGGACCGAACTAAGGCAGACTAGAGATGCCAACACCTGCGGGCAACGTCAGGAACCGCTTGGATAGTATCTACCTTCTGCATAGGAAGAAAAAAGACCTGTGAGAGTTAAGTGTCGACCTCACGGAGTTCTCAGATTCTACTGCATATTACAGTCATCTGGGAGCGCTTTTAAAAGGCCGCTGCCTACACCACACACCACGTACCCTGAGAATCTCGGGCGGTGAGAGTCTATAGCAATAGTATTTTACAAGTCGCAGGTGCCTCCAGTGTGCAAGTCGTGTTCGAAAACCACTGTCTTGTGAGTGGATCTCAAACTTTAGCTGATCGCCGGCTTGTTAAAACACAGTCCTGGGCGTCCCTCCTTCCCCCCGAGGGACCGATTCAGTACTTCTGTGAGGCCGGAAAATTTGCATTTTATTTCTATTAAGTTCCCAGGTGATGCTGACACTACTGGCTGGGAACCACGTTTTTAGTCTTTTGGCTCAAAAGTGTGATCCAGCATAGGCCTCATCTGTGGGCTCATTAGAAATGCAGCATCTCGGACCCCACCCCAAACCTACTGAATCAGGATCTCCAGTTGAAGGAATCCCCAGGTGATTCCTCTGTGCATGAAAGTTAGAGAAGAGCTGCTTTAGAGAATTACAGGTGGAAGTGAAAAAAGAAAAGTGCCAATAACTGATAGTTGGTTTGTCAGAGGAAAGGGTACGGTAAAAAGAAGCAGCAGCTGGAAAAAGAGCTTAACGGATGCACTGACCTGTTGCTTTTTTCTCCCTTGTTACTCCCCCGCCCTATAGGGAGACATTTCTTAAGCTGCCGGAACATGGTCATTCCCTTTTTTCACCCACCCACCCCGCCCCCCGCTCGTTTGCTTAGTCTAAGCACTTCCTCAGAAGACCCTGTTCTGGAAATTCTACAAAGACAGGTCTCACTTCCAAAGTTTAGTCCTCATTTCCTGGTTTCTACCACTTGGTAAGATCTACCCCTCTTTTAAATTCCCGTAAGCTTTTTATTTTAACTGTCATAGAGCATTTAAATTCTCACTTTAGAATTTGAATGCAGTATTTATTTATTTTTCCTACTAGAGATGGTATATTTGCCGAGGACTCCTGCCTTATTAATTTTTGGCATCCCTTGCAGTACCTAGCACAATACTTTACAGGTTATTGGCCTCCATAAGTATCGAAGAGTCCTTGTTTTAAGGATAGGTAGGCAGAAAACTAAGGCAAATGAGCTTCATTTCTATCCATAGTGCATGATAGAAAAATATATATTGACTTCACAGGTATTTTCTTTAATTAATTCCGCATTTCCACTTATTTTTGGACTAAATTTCTTATTGAAATTATGGGATGGAGGAAATAAAATACTGACAGTAAATGTCTTAAATGTCAGCGTATCTGATGGGTTGCAAATCTTTAAGAAATAATTTTCCATATAAAAGCTACATGAAGTACTCTAATAAAGGACACTTACAAAACATATATTGATATACATTCCAGTATATTTGAGTTCAGAATAGTGGGAGTGCTACGCATTTCTCTATTAAGAATAATTAAATCCAATCCAGGCCATTTATTTACATAATTGTTAAACATTTTATCTTACATAGTATTTTCCTGGAAACTTAAGTTAGTTTGAAACATCCCTCAGGCTGATCATTCCAAGGCTTGTATCCTCATCTTCAGAGCAAGAGAGTAAGACTGGATGACATTTAATGTCCCTTCCATGTGTAACATCTATGTGCAAGTAGAAAAACAAAAGTGCAAAAATTGTCAGCAAAGACCACTCGAGGCAGTGGAGCAGCAAAATATTCTAAAATCCATTGTCAGTAACCCTTTGGCACAGATTGGCTATGAACTATGTACATGGGGACATAATTGTACTTTAGTATCTTTTAGCAAAATACAACTCAAAGTTATTCGCTTCAGGGAAATATGAATGAAAAATGACGATGGTAGCAGTTTTTACTGTGTGTGGAAGAAGTGATAAATGATTCTTTATAATAAGAATCTTGTGTTTAATAGAATAAATCATTTTGAATTTTTTTAGGTACAGCATATGCTATATGTATTTAATGGTAATAATGGGACTATGTGAAGACAAAGTTACTGCCAAATTATCTCGTTATATAACAAAACTTTAATTTTCTGAGCTTGAATAAAGTCCCACAGCTGAAATGACTTTTTAATCCTGCAAGTTTTTCAGATTTTCCTCATTATAAAAAAGACCCTATTCTCATTTTTATTTGAATATCTCATTTTTAAATTTGAATATCTTAAATACACAAGAGTGTCCATTTTTCATTCTAGCTGAGAAGAATTTATGGACTTATGTAATTTGTTATATGCCTAGTCATAATCAAATGAATAGGGGTTTAATTTTTTTTAAGGGTCAGTAAGTTTGATTTTGGTAAGTTTGAATATTTTATTTAAAATACATTACAAATGCCTCACAAATGTCTAAGTCCAGATATGTTTGATGAAATATTTTTACTGCACTTTACTACAGTTGACTTTCAAATAGCAAATGAAGAATGTGAAATATATAATAATTTTTAAATTAATCATTTTTGATGATATAAAAACTTCAAATTTGTTATTTAACAATCACCTTCTTTACTTATATACATGCTTAGTATGGTCAAAGTATTATTTTTAATGGTGATAAAATACACATAACATAAAATGTACCATTTTAACTATTTTTAAGTATACAGTTTAGTAGTGTTAAGTATATTCACATTGTAATGCAACCAAACTCTAGAACTTTTTCATCTTCCAAAACTGAAACTCTGTATTTACTAAACAACTCTCATTTCCTTCTCCCCCCACCCCCTGGTAATCACCTTTCTACTTTCTATTTCTATAAATTTGACTACTATGGATAATCATATAAGTAGAATCATACAGTATTTGTCTTTTTGTGACAGATTCATTTTACTTAGCATAATGTCCACTTCATTCATGTTGTAGCATGTGTCAGAATGTTTTTCTTTTTTAAGGCCGAATAATATTTCATTTTATGTTTATACTACATTTTGCTTATCTGTTTATCCATTCATGGACACTTAGGTTTCTTCCATGTTTTAGCTATTGTGAATAGTGATGCTATGAACATGGGTATACAAATAACTTTTTAAGACTCTGGTTTCAATTATTTTGTATAACAACTGAGAAATAGAATTGCTGGATCATATGGTAATTATATTTAATTTTTTGAGGAATTGCCATACTGTTTTCCATAGTGGCTGTACCATTTTGTATTTCCACCAACAGTGGATAAGGGTTCCAATTTCTCCATATCTTCACTAGCACTTATTTTGTATTTTTTTTTCTTTTTTTGATAGTAGCCATCCGAATGGAAGTGAGGTGATATCTCATTGTGGGTTGATTTGCATTTCTTTAACTGGTCAAAGTATTTTTAAAACACAAGTTTTGGAACTAATTTCACAGCTAGTATGTGAGCTACTCAAGAAAACAGTTTTTATAATTTTATAAGTACAAGACAATCTCCTATGCTTCACTCAGGTCATCTCTGAGTATATCACCTAAAAGATTGACTTTGGCCAACAGTATCAACACCTCCAAAAGAGTAGCTTAAATTAGTAAGAGATTCTTTTTTTTTTTCTCAATAAATTTCACATAAGCAGTGTAGAGCTGTTGTGGCAGCTCAAAGGTATCCAGTCTTTGGGCCGGCCCGGTGGTGCACTTGGTGGAGTGCGGCGCTTGGGAGTGCAGCAGCACTCCCGCCGAGGGTTCGGATCCCATATAGAGACCGGTCTGCTCACTGGTTGAGCGCGGTGCGGGTGTGACACTGAGGGTTGCGATCCTGTTGCCGGTCGCGGTATGGGCGCGACACCAAGGGTTGCTATCCTGTTACCCGTCACGAAAAAAGACAAAAAGGAAAAAAAAAAAAAAGGTATCCAGTCTTTTGTGTCTTTTGTCTGCCATATTTAATGCGTGGATTTTAACCTTATCATCACAGATGGATCCTCCCTCCCTAGGCATCATTTATATGTTCCTGGCAGGAGGAAGAGGAAAGAGCAAGGACAAAGGGCAAAACTTGAGTGCCAATTGAATTGGCTATATTTAATCAACTTTCCCAGAAGCCCTATCAAATGACTTCCCCTGACTGCTTGTTTATTAACCAGTCGTCTGCCCCATGGCCACCCCTTGCATGATGACTTGCTACAAAATGTAATTTTATAGCTGGGAATATTTTCCTTCCCCCAACAAAATTGGATTCTGTTACTAAGGAATCATGAAGTGAAGTGTATTGTGTAGACCCCTGGCTGTGTTTGCAAAGCTCAACTATCCTTTCTATTTTCAGGTCTCTTTTTGAGGCAGTGAGTTGGCCTGGAAACTAAGGAGGGAGGGAGTGAGATCCTAGAAGTCAGAGGACAATTTGTACGGCAACATCAGGAAATGGGTTGTCTACCATAAGTAGATATTTTCTAGCCTAACATAAATAGCATAAATGGGTTTAGTTGGTTGAAGAAAGTAAATGTTGTTTACTTGAAAGTCAAATTGCAGTAAGTTAAATGCCTTTATTCCAAAAATACTGTAATTAAAAAGTAACAAAATATGAAAATTTAGTGTTGCACTGTTATGTTGAATCTGTTATATTTGCAGTTAGAAGTGCTAAAAATCACTTAGTTCTATCAAGAATCATGAGCCAAGAAAATTTACATCATTTGTGTCATTTTGATTTAAAATCCTCCTGATCCAACAACTGATCTTAACATAATCAAATAATAAT